GTTTGATGTGTAGTTATCCTCTAATGTGTTCGGAGAGCTAGTCAATCTCATTGTTGTGCATATGGCTCGCAGGATATTGAAGCGAGGCCTGGACTGTTGTATTGTTTATATCAATCTGAGATATTGTACTGTGTAATTATCAGTTGAAGTTACTTAAATTTGATGCTTATTATTGTAGGGACCTGTAAAATGAGCTTAGTATGCCCACTTTTCTCCCAATTTTATGATATTCAAGATGATTCTTATACCTATATATGATGTCAAAGGCGTTCCAATTCATGTTCTTTTCTTGTTTCTCTTTGATGTACAGTTAGCCTCCAATGTTTTCGGGGAGTTACTCGATTCCATTATTGTGGATATGGCATCGGAGTGTCACAGGATAGCAAGGCTAGGCCTGGACCATTGTCTTGATAATGAAGAGGAGGAGATGAGGCTGTCCATGGAAGCACGGGCAGCAGATCCAAGTAGTAGTGAAGCAAGTAGCAAGAATGTGGAAGATATATTTGGTCAGACTCACCCTGCCATTGCCAGTGAGATTTTTGATTGCATGAATTGTGGGCGGCCAATTGTGGCTGGGAGGTTTGCTCCGCACTTAGAGAAGTGCATGGGCAAGGTAAGTTTCTTATGTTATGACTCTTACTGTCTGTTTTGAAATACTTCCGCCAAGTTCAGTATCCATATAAACTTGAAGGCTACTGATGAGAGTTCAATATGTAGAAACTTGGTTTTAAATTGCATTTCTTATGTCTGCTGACTATCTTGTTTGAAGAGTGTTCGGTGAGACAGCTGCAATTTATAATGTTTTAGTTAATTTTAGGTTGTTTGTTAATTTTTTTTGAGGTATTTGATTGAAAGGCTATGAAGTCTTATCTTCTCCTTATTTCCTTCTCTTTCTCTTCTCATAGGCTTTTGCTATATTTAAGGTAAATGTGAAACCCCCATCCCCCCACCCCCCTCAACACAGAAATGCCTTTTTTTGTAGGTAACGCTAAATTTTTTGAGATAACACCAAAATCCTGACGTCACATAAGACCAACAACTTTTGTCAGATAACCCAATCTAACCCAACTTTTTTTGCCGTTATGTGTCATTTGTCAGAATTTTTTTTGTTATCTCAAAATGGGCCAAACTTTTGGGAGGTGTAGAAATTTCCCTAAATTTAAAACAAAGTGAGAAGTAACCTTTATTGATACAAAAACAGAGTAAATAAGTTAGTCAAAAAGTTTAGGGGAACAATTTTCACCTCTTCCGCTGGCACTTCTTTTAAGTCACTATTTAAAATAAGTACAAGAAGGTTAAAAAGGAAAATGCATTTGCATCACTTCCTCGCTCCTTGGTATATTTTTCTGTTAATGCGAAGCACGTCGCTCGAACTGAGCCGATTTCTTCTCTGTTCAGGGTCGAAAGGCTCGTCAGAAGACTACGAGGAGCACAACTATGGCGCAGACCAGAAACTCTCGTGCCAGTCCTGTATCAGTCTATGCTCCCTATTCAAATACAACCGCTACAACTAGAACTCGCAATGGCTCCAGCAGTTCTGCTGCAGAGTATGCTAACAACTACACATTTGATGGCCCCTAAGATCTCCTGTCTATTATTACTTGCAGTGTAGTATGGCCAACTTTCTTCGCCTGTAAATTCTTTTTGGCGCCATGTTAAAGTTATATCAGCTTCTTGAGATTTTTAACAGGGGAAGTAAAATATGTTCAATGTGGTCATTGGGTGAGTAAATAGACATTTTCTACTGCATTGTCTTCTGATGAGGTCTTGTTCTTGAAAATGTCCTGAAAACAGCAAAAGGACGAAATGTTTAATGGGCCCATAAGATTTTTGACATTTTGATGATTTTTTTTTTCTCCATGTTAAAAACCAGTTTGCACTGTGAATATACTTTCTCGGCTACATGCATAGTTCATCTATCTCAAAATCTAGACAAATCGAATGTTCTACTAGAATATTTGCGTGCTATATTCTAGTAAAATTTACTATAAAATTAGGAGCTTTATTATCTTTTCTATATAGAAATTTAGTCGATTGTATAGAATTCAGCATAGCATATTATTGATGCAACATACTGATTGAAGATATCATATATATCATTCCAAAAGTGACGCCTGACAAAAGCGAGTGAAGGAGACGCGGACGAGCTCAAGAGTCTAAATCCTCTGATTATTCAAAATTCCGGATTCTTAGAAATTCCGACGACGTTGTTAGGTTTTTCAGATGACGTCATGGCGTATGATCGGAGGCGGAGAAGATCATCATTAACTCAGAGAGCAAGATGAGGGACTAGCCGATACGGTTGTATTTACATGTTCTTTTTTAAATTTCCCCTCACGATATCAGTCCCTTAAATTTCTTTAACTTTTGCAGAAAACCCCACTACTTTTTGGCAAAAATATACTAAACCCCCCAATAACTTTCAAAAATACCTTTTTATGTTTTTTTGTTCTAGTTTATGGGCGTTATTTGCAAAAATGCAGAAACTTAATTTGGGCTTTCTGCAAGGCCAAAAAGTTATTGGGAGCTTCGGTGTGATTTTGAAAGTTTTTAGAGATATATACTGCAAAATGCTGAATTTTTTTGGGGTTTAGTGTAATTTGCCCTACTTTCTAGTTAGCACCTCAAATGATTGAAATTGCCATTGTGTCCCTCAAACCCTTTTAGAGGTTTAAATTAGTCCCTCTAGTTGGGGAAGATTTCATTCAATTTAACCTTTTTATTGGTAATTTCTAGTTATCCTATTAACATTTTAGGTAAACGGCTTAGGGTTTCCCCCTATTTTTGGTGATTTGCTCGACGCGTTAAACCTAATTGATAGCGTTATGTTCAGCTTTGAAGTGAAATATCTTTTAAAAGATTCGTTAGTGGAACGGAAAGAGTCGGTAAATTAAAGAATGGTTACAGAGAGTCTAAGTCGGTAATTGATAGCGTTATGTCCCGCCAGTGTTTTCGACTAAATTAAGAGTCAAGACTCAAGAGTCTCTTTGATAAAAAAAAGAAAAAAGAAATAAAGAAAACAGCGCCTGCAGATGAGGGCTTAGGGGCTGTTTGGTTGTTGTTGGTAAAGTTGCGTATTTATGACACAACTTTATACTTTTAAAAGTTGTTGTCCACCTCATTAATTTTACTTTTATACTTTTCTTTGTTTGTTTTTTATTCCATTGGAATCATAAAACACTTGTTTGGTTTGCAAAATGAAACTTTAAGGAGCTGTTTGGATAGGTTTTTTTGGGTGGTAAAAAAGGAGAAAGCTGCCAAAAATGTCATCTTTTTGGCAGCTTTCCCCCAAAATCACCTTTTTAAT